CTTGGGCGCGGGAGGTCTGCGGCCCGGTGGGCACGGCGGGTCGGACCCCGGGCCTACGCACGGCCTGCGGGCGCCGGCGGGTGCTTCAGGCTCCTCGCCCCGTCCCACCTCCGCCCAGCCTTCGGGCCTCCCCTGCCCTCGCCCCGAGCCCAGGAGGCCGCTAGGTGTCAGACACGGCCAGGCCGCGGCCGCCGGCCCGCCCGGAGTCAGTCTTGCGCCCAGCCCCCGCTGGGGGAGCAGGGTTAACCCCTTCCGCAGTTTCACGCACACACACGCTCACACGTGCACGCACGCACGCGGTTGTTGACAGGCGTTGCTCGCCCTTTTTCCAAGCGAGGTGGCTCTGCACAAGGCCGTGCGCGCGCGCGTGCGACAGCCCAAGGGCAAGATGCTGGCTCTCACCCTCCCGGGAAGGCCCGGACCTTGCCATCCGCTGCCTCCCCCGAGAAAGGAGGTTGCCAAGACCAAAGCCGGGCGCCAGCGCCTTCGCAGCCAGATCCAGGCCCTCTGTGCAGGAAATGCTCTGGGTGGATAAACAGGTCCAGCTCAGACTTCCTACAAGCTGGGAACAAAGGGTTCTTTCCTGTCAGTGCCTGGCCAGACTAGCCAAGGGTCCAGCAGGGGGAGAAAAATGGGGTTTCCTCCCCTGCAGACTCGAAGCAGCCTCAGCCAATGGTCGGCTCCCGAACCTGTGGGAGCTCCTGGGAGCCCCGCACACTGGATCCTCCCACGGGTAGGGCCCAGGACCTGGTACCCACTCAGAGGGTGTTGGGCATGTGGCAGGACACACTTTCAGATGGGACTAACCGTGGGTCTCCCCAGGCCCCTGTCAGAGTGAGCAAGTTTAAGCCGTCCGAGGAACTGTGTAAGGGTAACTTCATTTGGAGGAAGTTCAGGGAAATTTTTAGGTAAGAAATAGCTTCCTTAGTGCACTAACAGGCCGGGAATGCCGCAGCGCCTTGTGAATTGAAGGTGTAACTGAGCCATCCCTGGCTGTTGGGTTTTCGAATTTGGGCTCCATGGGGCAGGCTCAGGGGGACAGGCCCTTCCAGCCTCAAGTCCCCTGGGGAACAGGGAACAGGGAACAGAGCAGGGCTCTCAGCAGCACACGAGCAAGAAAAGATCCGAGCCCTTGGGCCCTTTGAGTCCTCCACCCTCTCGGCCCGGCACCCTGAGCTGCAGCTCTTTTTCTTAGGAGGGAAATTATCACACACCCCTAAACTGTTTTCAGGGGTTTGCTTAAATGGCAAGGGCAAGAAGTGCCCGAGTCGGGGAGAGCCTTGTGTGCACCAGGAACATGGGGACTTAGCTCTAAGGACCCACGGACCCACCCAGCCCACCTTCCAGGACAGGTGATGCCATCAAGGTGCAGCAGGGCACCGGGGCTGCCGGAGTCCCGGCCCGGGATGGCAGGTGCTCACACTGCCTTGCCTTGCCTGTTGCAGAAACGCCTGCCGCCCAAGCCTGGGCCGCACGGGCCCTGCAGCTGGAGCCCGCGCTGGGGAGAGCCCCCTTTCTGCTCCTTTTGGGGCAACCCATGCAGAATGTGCTTGTTGGGGGACCCTTCCTCCCTCAGCAGAGCTCAGCTGGCCTTTCTGTCCTCGAACACCCCAAGCTCATTCGCTCCGACCTCTCCGTGGAAGGTCCGGTCATGGATCATTGCTGGCCTCATTCCTTCGAATCTCAATTCAAACATTAACACCTTCCCTAACCACAGTGTGGCAGCCGGGGCAGAGGTTGGAAATGTAGGTGCCCTCCTGGACTCAAGGTGCACAGGCTGGTTCAGAAACTGCCCTGAACACACCTGGTTTCTCTCTCTTACTTCCTTTCTTTCTTTTTCTTTCTTTCTTTCTTTTTTTTTTT